TTTCTTTCATAGCTTTGAAGTAACCTATTAAACATATAGTTATCTTGAATTGACCAGACAGCCGTTGGTCTTGCCAATGTCTGAGTTAAGTCACAAAGCTAGGAAATTTAAGTAATATTTTACCAGTACGGAGAACTTCTTACGGCGTTTTTGATGAAAATTGACCGAATTTAGTAGTTCATTACTAACCTATGAGCCTTTAACTATTTTTTTTTATTCGAAAAAAACACACCAGAAATTATCCTCAAGATTTTCCATACAGATTTTCCATGTACTACTTTTCATGAAATTACATTTCCAATGAAATTTGATTCATTGTCCAGATAGTTAAATGTTTGTTATTTTTTCGCATACGAATGCATTTCGTGTCTCACATACGCTCATTACATATGATTTAACAAAATTACAAACGAGTTAGAAGTTAAGTGAATATTTCCTGAAATACTGTACATTTCATTTCGGAAAGTTTACACGAGTATCTTCATTTTGAATCCTTTAATGTTTCTTTTCCTGCATCCAGCGTAAATTTAGAGTAAAAAATTTTCAGTTTGGACGAAAGTTATTTACCGATGGTTGTGACGTGTTCGTGTTTTCATATATTGTTTTTTGTGAAGTACCTTATCGATAACCTTTTGAACACTTTGAATATTACGGCCACTGCAAATCATTGAATTTTCAAATATTTTCTTATTTATCTTTTACAAGTCCTTGTAAAGATTTGGGAACAAATTTTTATTAAATAGTTATTTTATTGTATGATTTAATAACTTTTTACACGTTTGGAAGATTTAACTTCAACAACACTACCACACTGAATCAGAAATTAAGAAAAGAAATGGAATTTTTTTTTATCTTAGTATACTACAGGAATAGATAATTTTTCTCTAATGTATTCGAATGTAGTAGATAATGGAGACTTTTAACACAGATCATACAGACTTTGAATATTTTTCTCTAAGTCACCAAAAATTGCATTGTCATAGATTTTCTCATAAAGTCTATTTCTTTCTTAAAAGAAGTTTATATACTAATTTCATTAGAAACATATCTAAGAAAATATCTGACATTCATAAGAAAATCAGCGCTTGTTTCTTTACTAAATTTGTACTTTCTGACTTCATTCTACTGAAACGAAAATATTCATAACTTATTGCGAAGAAAAATGTTATACTTTTTGATTAATTTTCATACCACAGTATTATCTTTGAAATTTTTTTTCCTAGTCCACTGCTAATATATTGCTAATTTTCGTACGTGACAAAAAAACTCAGTTTAGAAACTTTTCTACTTAAAACCTTGTATTGCATTGCTGAACCGGGGCCATGCTTTCATTTTTATCACATATCATGCGAATATTTTAAAAAAAGCATATTTTTTCCTTCTGTTAGCACAATTTTTAACCAACATTTTACTATTACAGAGACTTCTTTAGTAAAATCTCAAGTGTTAAATTGAACGTTTCATTACTAATTTTGAAGATTCTGGATATATCCTACTTAAAAGTTCATAACCGATTAGCAAAATAATTTATATATGTACTTCGTTGTGCTCTTGGTTAATTTTTAAATCGTTGTTCAACTATAACACTTGATTTCTAGTGAAGTATCGAAATGATTATTTACTTTCTGCTTTTTCCAAAGAATTTCGTAGACACATATGTTCAGTACAGAAAATTTTCCTAACTTACCAGTATCATTACCAAAATAGAAAACATGCAAAATTTTCCTAAAAATTTATATATTTGTTTTTTACAAACATTTACACGAATACCCACATTTAATTATTTAACGTGTATTTTCCTATATCAGAACTAAAATTTCGAACGAAAATTTTTAACTAATGTTATGTTCCGTAAAATTTTTGTATTTGTGATGTCATCTTTTTTTTGCAAAAGTTTTCAGAGTGTGCTCTCGGTAGTCTTTTAGACATTTTGAAACTGTTTTATCTTTGCTATTGGAAACTATTCTCTTTGCTATTGGAAACTATTTTATTTTTGCTGTTGGTATATGCCTATGAATTCTCGATACTTTCTTGGTTTATCTTCAACTTATGAAATATTTAAATACTTAAAAATATATTTGTAGATCGTTTATGTTGAAACTTGTGATAGATTTCCTGGATTAAATTTTTTTTTGGAAAATGTATTTTATTTTATTTACGTGAATGAAACTGATGTTTTCTTAAAATTTTATTATTCAGAGTATTAGTCAATTATGACAGAATGTCTGATTTGTCCTCTTTTTAGTCAACATTCATATGAACTTCAGTATTTCAAATCTCTCACGTAACTGTAATTTTTCCTATTGGTAGTAGGAAGACGAATGGAATACATGCAGTTTATGCAGACATAAGGGTAAAAATCTGGAAGTAGAGAAATTCTTCATATTTAGGCAATTCAGTAGAATGTGCAAATATTCATCCTATTCGAAGCTTATTTTTGGAATTACATAGCATATAAAGTGTAAATTTAATAAAAAGAGATATAATGAAAATCAAGTACTCTGCAAAATCTGAACGATAATTATGCAAAACTAGTTATAAGGCAGTTTTTCATAGAAAGTGGTTTCAACAGAGGAAACATGCCAGCAATCTCCTGAAACTCTAAATGAGCACCTGATCTTCGCTCTTACGTAGAATTTACAATTCTACTTTACTTTTGTAAGAGCAAATGAGGTCACAGTATTTAGGAGTTATTTTTATTCATTATAGTACAGACTTATATCCTCTAGATAATAATATCCTCTAGAATAAGTAAAATATTGTTAAATCCTCAGTTAAAATATATTGTTAAATTGCAAAAAATAATTTAAGTGTACATCTGTTAATCTTCTGTTTTTCTCATTGATGCCTATCGAAATACAAGAGTAATATAAGCAAAAAACATTGTTCTTCCTGTTTTAAGACTTGACGTACAAGTTCAATCTCTGAGTGCCGCATGAGCTGACTCAAGCAGGTAAGGACAGACATGTTCGGGCCTTCACTAATATGCTCGAATATCAACGCAAGGATAATATTCTGGATCGGAAACGTCACTTGTGATGAAAAGTGGATTTACTTCAACAACAAAGGCTGAAAAGGTGGTTGATCTGCACCCGGTGAACCCGTTGGCAGCGTCTTTGATTAACAAAAAGGTCATGGATTGCATTTGGTTGGATTGCCATGGTGTTATCCACAAAGAGTATCTGGAAAAAGATAAAACCCTCGACAGTAAGGTGTACAGCGAGGTTCTGGTACGTGTTGATGCTGCTATCATAGAAAATGTAAAACTGAGTTCCGGTAATGTACCATCAAGATAATGCAAGACCACATGTGTCTGCATTCACCGGCTGGACTCTGTACAGACTCGAATGGGATCTTTTGCCACACCCACCATATAGCACCAATATTACTCCTTCAGACTTCTTTTCATACCTGTAGCTACTTCTTGATCGTGCTGTTTTTCATTCTGCAGAGGACGTCTGAAATGAGGTTGATCTGTTTCTGGACTCGCGTCCACCAAGTTTCTAGGGCCGAAGGCTTTGAAAAACTATCAAAACGCTGGCAGAAAATCATGTTTTTTGAGTAACAATCAAACGTTTGGGTGATGATTACTACCGGTACTAAAGGTACTGCTTTCATGTTTTTCCTCCTAACTTTATTAAGAACGTTTTTTGGCGAAAAACCTTCATTACAACTAGGTGATTTTTTAAACTAGTCTAACTTCTATAATAGTGATTTTAATCAACAGGCAGTCTGTGGATACTCAACTCGTAAAGCACCATTCTTTAATAGTTCCTAACACATAAGCGAGGTTGTGAAGAAAACCTCTAATGTGCTACGTCTTTTGCATTCTCCTTTTCTGCAATTTATAAAAAGTGTACTGAAGGAAATTGGTACAACTCACTGAAGTTCAAACTGAACCCATTACGCTTATAAAAGCGTTACTTCACTAAAAGGATGTACCAGTGTTTCGCAATGTTCAGGTGCTTCGTAGATGATAGTTCAATAACCAGTTGTGGAAAAGCATGCAATGTGAATGCTTTATATGCTATCCCATAAGCAAATAACAAGCCCAACGGTAAGGGATACCTTGAAAGATGTCTTTCTAAAAGAAACTAGTTATTGTTGTGCTTCACATATAGAAAATCACGAAAATGGGGAAAATGTCCAGAATTTCATTGCTGGAAGTCTCGAGACTTTTAATGAATTGTTCCTTTTTATATCTTTGGATTCGAATTAAAAAAATGTATTAGAAGAGTTTGGAATCTTTAAAAAAAATCAGAATCCCACTGTTTCGATAAATTTTGCTTTCTTATATCTAGGAGTTGCTTCTTTGCCTTGTGTTTATTTATCATTAGTCTACCAATAGATGCCGGTAGTGTTTCATATAATAAAATTTGGGATGCAATTTTGAGAAGCAGAAGAGTACCCAAATATGCATGCCATTGAATCCGGGCCCAGCCAACCATTCAAAGGCTATTCGAATAAAAATTGAAAACAACTATAAAACAAATAGTCGTATCTTTTCAATATAATTAATAAATTAAATAAATGAAAAAATATAAATATAGCCAATATTTTCTGTATTAATTTTTTAGTCTCATTTCTCCACTTTCTTAAACAAGTCATTTTAAAATAAGTCCTCAGAATCTCCAATATAGAGAAAACAAAAAGTTCGGATAAGCACTAAAATTATTCCGTTTGCCGGAAACTGGATCCAAGATTATAAACTAGCAGAGTTCCTCGGTTTTATCCTTTTAACCTACGGAAAATTGTTGCATAAGAAAAATCAGAAATATCACATAGATACTAAGCATACACTTACATCACACAAATATAAATATTTTGTATCACACATATATTTAGCAAGCAAAAATATTAAATGTGGTACTTGGATCGCGTTTGCATTTTTTGATTCGAAGCAAACGTTTGCATGATTTTATAGCTGCTTTAACACTAAATATTTCGTTTTTATTTCTAATCCTAATAAGCTTGGTCAAAATATTCACTTTTCTACTTACTATGATGGAAGCAGTTATAGGCCCCCGGATGATCCAGAAGTAATGAGGGTTTTCGTTCACGGTCCAGCATCTGAAATAAGAAAACTTAACTACTACACGATATCTAATTTCAGGTACAGCATGCATCTAGATTCATTTCGTTTAATGCACATTAGACTTTCTCTCTATCTCTGTAAGAATAATTAACCGTTTTAATTTGCTCGCTTTACCAATTACTCGTGACAAATTTATATAAAATATGAAAATCTGGCAACACGAAAATTACAGATTAACCACAGTACAGTCTTAAGGGGATATTACTTTTTACTTTTACACTGCTAAGGAGGACTACTGACCGGGAACAAGCCCTTGCAGTGTGGTGTCGCCCTGCAGACATTTATTAAGTCTAAATTTAAAAAAAAAAAACGGAGTCACGTCTAGATAGGGAATACAAAGGACTGCCTTGAATACATATGACATTCCTGATAGCACAGATTAAAAAAAATGCTTAGAAGTACAAAGCTGCTTTGGTACAAAACTGATAAAGGTAAAACAAAAACAGTAAAATTTAAGACTAACATTGGAATTTCAAGCCTGCAGTTATACATCACACTGACTTACTATTATACACTTACTATAATTCCGCACATTACTTAAAAAAAAATAAAAACATATTATGCAATATATTACTATAATACTAAACAACACACTAACATAGTAAAACTGATACTACAAATAAAACACACCATATACATTGCTCGTATCAGAAAAGTACACACTGACATAGTAAAGCTGATACCTACAAATAAAACACAACATATACAGTGCTCGTATCAGAAAAGTAGACGTAGACAATTCTGTACATGAATGCTGTACTGTAACGCTAAAACTAATCAAAAGACCACTAGATAATAACCTTTGGAAACAGTCACAGTGAAATTACGAATATAATATATTGTAGCAGAGTTAGAATACGAGTCATTTCAAAACATTAAATCCAGCAAAATATTTCAATACATATTTACAAAGTTCTACAACCAAGAAAGTCTGGTTCAATACTATTATTATACATCACACTTACTTATCATTATAAGGCCCTAAACTATTATACTCCACATTAATAGAAAAAAATTATACAAGATACTTAATGGAATACTGTACATACACTGAAATAAAATGGCGAATACTACAAAATAACAATCAATATACAATGTGCTTATCAGAAAGTTGGTTCTGCGGCCACGAATATTTGTTAGAAACTGTTACATTTTGCACAATACTAGAAACTGTTACAAAACATTTGCACACAATATTTCATGGTACTAGCCGAGAGCTCTATATATGTATTTACTATTATACCGCAAACTTAATTTGAAAACATAACACAACGCACTTACTACTTAACAGGTCAATACACTAAGACAATATGTAAATTGAAATACACTGAATACAATACAAAAATTAAGTAAACACAATAAAATTTAAAGATTAATAATGGATAGAAGCGACACTTGAAGTACAAATAGACAGACATTGATTGTGGTAATCTGCATCTAGAAGGTAACTTGTTCCAGCAAAGTTATTCATGTACGGCACGCAAACAACATGGCTGTCATGCATATACGTAACATAGGTACAATGGCATGCCATTAGTCTCTGAAAATTGTCCTAATTTCAGTAGTTGAATATTCTCGTATATAGTAAGATACCAAATTTGTAAGGTAAGAATTATGAAAGTGTTGGTATAGAATTGCCTGCTGTAGCTGCTGTTGACACCGCTTCTGTTCAATAGAATTCACGAGCACAAATGTCCATTACTCGATGAATCTGATTAAATGCGAGCTTACTTCTCTTAGGGTGTCTGACCACCCGGACCGGGGTGCTTCAGAGGTTTTTTTTTAAATGAATGGTATCGTGGAGAGAGCATTCGAAAGCAAGTGATCCGGATCACCTAGTGTTCCACATCTACAACTGTCTGAAGTAGCTAATCTGAAGCGCCGTAAATAGCTTGGAAATGGTCCGTGTCCAGTAAAGAAATGTGTAAGATGAGCACTACTAGGACCAGATTCAGACCAACTTTGGGGAAGAAACGAAAGGTTCTGCGGCCTGTGGTGTTTGTTTCATCTCTGTTGCCAAATTTCTAACATTTTGAGTTCGGTAATCTTTTTTAAATAGGAACTGGTGCTTTTAGGGGTTGTTACAGGCATATTCAAGTCGTTAGCTGCTAGCTTAGCAAGCCTATCGGCCTCTTCATTTCAGCAATGCCTACATGCGCTGGAACCCAGCTCAAGTACGGTCGTTGGGACTCGGGAATCTGAAGTAGAGCATCCCTAATAATGTGGACAAATCCGCTTTGCTGTTGAGTTCTTTAATGGCCAGTAGGCTCGATGCTGAATCACTCAGTATTCTGACTGGTCCTGTTAGATTTTGCTTAATATAATCTAATGCTGCCTTAATTGCTACAAGTTCCGCCTGAAATACACTATTGTAATCTGACAGCCTCTGTGACCAAGTGTAGCAGATAGTATTGCCTCGCATGACGTAGAAGCCGCTACCGTGCCAACCTCCGTTTGGAACCATTCGTATAAAACAAACTTCGTGCCTAGCCGGAATTAAGGGCTCTATGGTGACTTGGTCATCATAATTTATGTCCGCCAGATGTCCCAGAGAACGAGGGAATGATCCTCGTAATCACGAGCGCGGTAATGGGGTACCCCACAAGATAAAATCTTCCTTTATGCGTAGGATCCGTGCTTGTCCAGCCTTCTTCTCTCTCCACGACAAGATCCAATGGTGGTAACCCAGCGAGCACCTGCAATGAATCTGTCGAAGTGGTCCTATAAGCTTTAGTAAAACATGAGTTGGAGACGCTGAATAGAATTGAGTTTCCTCCTCAGGTTTCCATTGAGATGAATACCCCATGCTGAAGACCCGTACAAAATCACCCTCGCTGTTATTGTGCGATACCAGATCTTCAACATGTCTGGTCTAATGCCCCAATACATGCCAGTAGTTCGTCTCATGTTATTGGTAAGAGATACTACTTTCTGGTGTATATGATGCAAATGTGGAATTCAATTGAGGCGGTTGTCTATGATGACACCTAGATATTTCAACTGGGAAACAATCCTAACTGGATGACCTAATAATCTTACAGTTGGATTCCGCCTCAATGGACCTTTACGCCCTATGAGTAAAATGTTAGTTTTGGAGCTGAAATTTCCAATTTGTGATCGGCTGCCCATTGTGCAAAGAGGTTCAGTGCTCGCTGTACATTCTCCTGTAGTCTGTGTCTTCCAGTGATCAAAAGCAGAAAGTCGTCGGCAAATGTCTGGACTTTGACAGTCTCATCACCATTGTAAAGATCAAATATCGTGTTGGAAACCAGGTTCCATAAGACTGGGCCCAGGCATGAACCCTGGGGACAGCCACGCACCAGTCGTCGTTGAAGTTGGCCATTTGGCATTGTTAGCTGTATTTGCCGATCAGACAAATAGCTGCGAAGAATCCTGAGGATTTCAATCGGGCACTGAATTCGGTCTAGACATTCGATCACATCTGGACACCAGAGTGAATCAAATGCCCCTTGGATGTCGACTGACACGACTGCTGTGTGCAGATCGTTATTTCGGTTATCCTTGATTGTGTCCAATAGACTGGTCAGAGCATGCTCTGTTGAAGTACCCTGTTTAAAACCAAACTGAGCTTGGTTTATTGTTACGAATTTGGTATTTAAAAAGCTAATGTTAGTTCAATTATAAATTAAATGGTTTTATTTCTCGCGCAGTGCAGCGCGTGACGAATATTAAAAGAAAGCTAAGCCGGAAAAATTAAAAATACAAGAGCGCGTGCGTTAAATAAATAAATATCTCTTTTTGATTTCGAGAAAGTGCTGGAAAATTCTAGCGCGTGATTTTAAAATCTTATAAAAGGAGGAAAACATCTCAGTTTGTAGTAGTTGCTTAGTTTGTTTGTTGTTTAGAAAACTACTGTTGTTGATTGTAGCGAATTCGCGGATTAGCGTTCTTTAGCTGTTTTGAATTACGTTCTATTGGACATTTGAGTAGTTAAAAGAAAACTACTGTGAGATATTGTAATACTGCGTGATAATTTGAGAACATTTAAGCATTTTTGTTGTGATAATAATAAATTTTTGTTCATTTTTCACCGGACTTGTGCATTCATTTAGTAACGAATCCGTACGCACGCAACAGTATTATATTTCTTTTGCTTAAGAAATGATTGAGTCTGCTCAGTATTACTCGTTCAACTACTTTACTAATGGCTGGTAGCAGACTGACAGGCCTGTAGGATTTTGGATCATCGGGGCCCCTCCCGACCTTCAGCAAGAGAACTATCTCGGCTATTTTCATAGTTGTTGGGAAATGACCCAGTCTCCAACATGTGCCGCATAATTTAACCAAGAGCATGGGCATGCTTGATGCACAACCTTGATTAAGATGTTGTCAAGGCCGTCTGGGCCCGGTGCCTTGTTATTGACTAGGGCCTTGACTATTCTGTGCAATTCTTTTGGCTTTGGCAGCTTCGAGTCACTTTCAGTGGTAGTTCAATTACAGTTATCATAGTGTTCTCTGATATCCGCCTGTCGTGCTGAGTCTGTCTCCTGTGTGTCATTGCGAAAGATAGCTTCAAGTATGTTGCCCAAAATTTCTTCTCTAGTGGTGCCAAGTTGCGAAGCTGCTAACTGTAGTAGACGAAATACTTTCGCACAGGCTACTTTCTGTACCTTACCATAATGCTCTATGACTCTGCTGCAATGGTTTTGCCACGCTTCCAGTTTGCTATTAATGATTAGTTTTTTGTAACTGGCGTGTTCCATTTACAAAAAAGTAATCATTAATAGCAAACTGGAACAAGATTTAAAAGTTAAAAATGCGTAATGTATTTTCTCCCTCCTTCTAGCATGTATTCTTGGTGTAACAGTAGCACACTCGGCGCATATTCGAGAAGTCAAAAGTTTGAGTTCCGGCGAGGGGATTGCTCAGTTTTCGTGTCTCCTGCTTAAAAAAAAAAAAAAAAAAAAAAAAAAAAAAAAAAAAAAAAACACTAATGACTCTACAGATGTAAAGTATAATATAAGCATTTAGTTCATCTTCTTAAAATAACAGCTATTATTACCAACTCATAAAAATCTTACAAATGAATAAAATTAAAACTCAACACAATGCCAGTTTTAAGAATTCTGGCAATATTACTTCTGCTTTTTTTCGGAAGGGAGACATAAAATGATACAATTCGGAGAAAATATATTATCATTTGAATAAATTAAAAGAAGTTACACGAAAGCTGCAGTCACAATTACCTTCTTCAGAAAGAGACCGTTATTTCTAAGAGCACGAATAAACATCGGTATTAAATATGACCTCTCTAAAAAGACCGAATACCTCTACCAAAGATCAAATTTGTTTGGAACCACAGCCGTACATCTTACAGAAGATTCAATATATACATGTTACTGTGAAAAACCCCAGATATCCGACAAATGTCGATATTCACGGTGGAAGTCAGCATTCGCACAGTCACTTGATGAATGTCCGAAATATTTGCTAAATGTCATCATTTCTCACTTACTCCAGAAAATGTCGACATTCAGCATGCACTGAAGGTTAATTATGAATAAAAATATTTTTGTTCTGTTATGAAAAAATGGAACATTATAAATCCTACTTTATTACATAGCATATTATATGTCAAAATAGGAAAAGCTTAAATAACAACACACGCAAATAAACTAATGAACCTAAAACGAACAGTATATTCTAAATTAAAAAAATACCAATAATGAACTTATAAATAAATTGGTTCTATGAAAAAAGCATTATGTGATTAGCGTTATACAATATTATTTATTGCAATATTTAAATTATTATAACTCTTTGAACTGCACTAGAGTCCCTTGCTTTTACAACTGCATTTAGTTGTGGAATATTTCTTTTTGCAATTACAGCGGGTACAGCCGTTTCCTCAACTTTTCGAATTAGTGCAACTGCTTCTATCAGCTACATTTCTTGATTTTTATTAATCAATGAAACAAAATAACACCTATTGCAAATTCAGAAATACGGAGAAAACTTAATTAACGTTGTTAAACTGATGAAGAATGTGCTTTTATTATAAGGAAAATAAATAAAAAATCTTAGGCATCATCGAATGGCAACAAAGTTCTTTGGGCTGCTGATCTTTATTTTTAACGCATAGGATTTTACTGGTAACTGGAAAGGGTTATAAATGGCGATAAAATACGAATGTAGAAATTAACAAAATAAAACTTTGAAATGAATAATAGTACTAAATTATAGTATTGAAGAATGCTGAATACAAAACAACTAAATTTTGTTTCATATGATATAATAATATTAAAATTTTCCCTGATTAACTATAGGATAAGAGAATTCTTTACGATATTAATTGCGTTTGCATTTGGCACATATGCGTTCAATGTTAATTGCATTTGCATTCTAAACATTTCTCTGCTGCTTTCATTAAGTACTGTAGTCAAATTTTACTTACAGATTATCTTCAAGCATTGCTTTCACTATTACCCAGGGAACCAAAAAAAGCAGCGGCAGTCCTGTAAGATATAAGAGAGAGATGAGTGAGGATGTCATTCATGTCTGTTTTCTTAATACATCCTGAAGCTGGGTATATAATTCACTCAAAAACAAAAGTAAACAAAGAAATTATTAGTGGAATCGTATGTTTCAGAATCCTACTCAACAACTAAAATACATGAACCAATATAGCTAAAACTACACGCTGGATAACAATTATTTGAGATAATAAGGCAACAAATATCAACGTAAGTTGCATAAATTTGCATGACTAATATAGATGGTTTGAATAGAATCTCCTCCATCAGCCGCAAAAGCGAAAATAACAGAGGAGAACGCTATGTTCACACAATAACCACACAACAATGAATTTGAGAAAGTTCTAATAGGAAAATGGAAAGTTCCATACTTAAAGATCCCCACCCTAATTCGCAATTCCATATTTAAAGATCTCATTCCAGCGTGCAGTTCCATATTTAAAGCCCTCATTCCAGGTATACATTTTTGAGATGTATACAATATTCCTTGCCAGTGGGGTTTAAAATATACTGGTGAAATAAATTAAAGAGAATTTTCATATTTGATCTACGATCTCCAGAACTACTGGGCAGATTTTAATAAAATTTGGTGTGAACATAGGTTGATATGATACAAACAAAATAAACATTCAACAGTTATAATAGACACACATGTTCGTGTGTAACACTCAGGGGAATCTGAAGGTCTGAAACAGTGGTTGCAGAAGACACAAAAGAAATGGGTTAATAGGGGGCCGGTCTCAGGCCTCGCAGGGTGATGTCATACTGGAAATAAAGCAGTTTATCAGTGCCTGTGGCAATTGGTCCCACTCATTCAGCAACGCTGTTTTCAGTTCCTGGATGGTTCTTAGAGGGGGGTTGCGAGTTGCAATTGCCCTCCCCAGAGCGTTCCAGACATGCTGTATAGGGCTGAGATCTGGAGACCTAGCTGGTCAATCCATCCAGCGAATATCCTCACTCTCGAGAAATTCATAGACCAGAAGAGCTCTATGTAGCCTCGTGTTATCGTCCTGTAAGATGAACTCGAGGCCGTTGCACACCGGAAAAGGCGAGGATAGGGCTCCAAGACCTCATCCTTATACCTCACACCAGTCACATAGCCTTTGTCAAAGACGTGGAGAGGTGTGAGGCCATCCGACATGATGTCTGCCAGACCATTATACCGCCACCGCCATAATTGTGGATTTCGCTGACATTGGAGGGTAGGTAGCGGATCCCTGGCTCTCTCCATATGAAAGTACGGCGAGAATCGGTGTTTAGGCTAAAACGGGACTCGTCGGTGAACAGAACGGTCTCCCATTGCTCCGTACTCCAATCACTATGCTGCCTGCACCATGCTAATCGGACTCTCCTGTCCGTAGACGTGAGCGGTACTCAAACAGCCGATCTTCTGGCAAACAACCTCTCTCATTCAGTCTTTTGGGAACAGTCACCCTTGTTACACGGGTTCCTGTGGCTGCATACAGGTCCCAAGGAGAGCTGAGAAGCTGCAGTACTTCTGTTACGCCTTGCTAAAATGGACAAATAGCGCTCTTCTCTGGCCATCGTGGCTCTTGGACGACCTTGCCCAGGCTTTCTCTTGATAGATACAGTATCCTGGAACTGTTTCCATAGGTTACACACGACGCTGGGCGTTAAATTAATTTCTCTGCATCTCTGGACTTGCGATTGGCCTGCCTCTAGCCTCCCCACAATTCGCCTCCCCATTCCATCATCTAAACATTGGTGGTTACTCATTTTTACTGTTCCGATGGGAATTTAACCGAATGCCGCAAGATAACACCAAGGAATTCGCCAAGGTGTGCTAGCGAACGTAATTCGTCTTACCCTCTACACGCTTATAAAGCCTGTTTCTCTGCTGGTTCCAGCTACACACACGTGTACACTTACGTATTTGCCGTATAAGATTTGCATTTTTATTTAGAAGCACTGCATTTTTATTTAGAAGCAGTGGTTTCAGTTCTTAGCAATTCGATAAAATATGCAAATTCTCTTAATTTATTTCACCAGTGTATATTCGCCAAAGTAAAAGAACTTTAAAATTTTGCACTACGGAGACTGAAACATATGATAGAAAAACAGAAAAACATGCCCTACATTGTTGATCAAAAAGTGACATTTTCTGTTTTTTTCTGCAGTTAAAATTACCCAGAAAACATCATCATTAGTGAATTAGGTTTCCTAGAAACGTTTTATTCTCATAAAATTTTTAGGTTCTAGCCAATGTTCCAAATTCCTATCCGTCTTTATCTTCAGCTTTGGGAGAAATCTTTTCTTAATTGTCTTAATATTTTATCAAAAGATGGCGCCAGCAAATTTGCTTCTTTCCTTAATAGAACTTTCTCGAATATTCTGGTCTAGGGTTTTTCACATGAGAGGAGGATTGTCTTTCGTCACTTTCAATTGTGCATCTGATGAAAAATGTTCTATTCAAACCTCCGAAACTATTTCTGCAAATTTATGTAACTTACTTTGATTCTTGTTGCCGTACTTTCTCCAATAATTAAAATGTGCCCATTAAGTTGTTGCTATTGTTGTTTAACCAATTATGCCAAAGAACTTGGGAGTTGTTTAATCAAGTATAAAACAATCGAATCGTTGCGATTCAGTGGGTTATGTCAAAGCACTTGAGGACTAAAGCGGGCAGTAGTGGCCGATTTGAACACTGATTATTCAACTAGCACTAAAGGGAGGGATGCCTTCGTGGAGGACTTTCTAAGGGAAACTTTCTCGTATACATTTTACGCATGGCGAAAATCACGAAAATGGCCGTGCAGTCAGCCCGTTCGCCTAGACTCGAACCCAAGTTGTAATTACTAGTTGTACGTTCCGTTGTTTAAAAATAGTGGACTGTAAATTGACTTGATATTACTACAGTATAGAACCCAAAAAACCTCAGACTCATAACGTTGACCGAAACTTCTTTATTGACTTTCAAAGAGTAAGTTAGTTGAGGAACGGCGAAGACCACACAAACTCCGACTTCAGTGGCGGCTTACCAACACAAACTCAAAAGAACCTCTGCCTAGTTGAAACTCCAGTAATTCACAGCAACCTCAAAGCTCTAAACGCGAGCTTTAAAAACCTAACAAATTTGCGTCTGCGCCGCTCCTCGGTACAAAGAAAGAAATACAATTTGCATAACATCGAACATACCCCCAGCCTTGAAGTCCCAAGGGGGTTCAAACAATAAATTTAAACTGTTGAACTGCAAAAACCTGAAAAATAAAAATTAAAGTCTCTAAATCAAGAATTAAATGGCAAAGCGCATAGCTTTGCTATAGGTCGTTTTATTACACCATTAGACGTGCGTAAACTCACCACTCGAACTTTCTCATCCAGACCAGGATACACTTTAATAATTCTTCCTAATTTCCAACGTAGCGGAGGTAGATTTTCGTTCTTAATAAGAACCATATCACCAATCTTCAGGTCTTGTTGTACCTTGCACCACTTGGGTCTCTGCTGCAATATAGATAAATACTCACTGCTCCAACGATTCCAGAAATGTTAAAATAACCTTTGCACGTTCCTCCAACGGTCACTGCAGCTCATGGTTTCTTGAATTTGGTTAGATTCTGGAATAGCGCTTAAAGCCGCTCCGGTTAAAAAGTGTCCTGGTGTTATCGCCTCCAAGTCGCTACAATCACTTGAAGCTGGTACTAAAGGCCTAGAATTAAGACAGGATTCAATTTGGGTTATTAATGTCAAAAATTCCTCGTATGTTAAAATAAGTGTTCCTAAACATCTTTTTAAGTGATTTTTCATAGACTTGATACCCGCTTCCCAAAGCCCTTCAAAATGAGGGGAAGAGGGAGGATTGAATAACCATTTAATATTTTCTGAAGAAATATAACCCTGTAGCTCTTCATCATGTTGAACAATAGAAAAGACTTTCCTTAATTCTTTATTAGCTCCTATAAAATTCGTTGCACAATCACTGAATTTCACACGGTTTGCCTCTACGAGCTTAAGTGTCGCGAGGAATGATTTTGTTGAAAGATCTCCAACTAATTCTAAATGTATTACTCTTGTAGTAAAACAAATAAATAGACATACGTAACACTTAAAGATTTTGACTCCTCTACCAGGACGATATTTAACGTTAAATGGTCCTGCTAAATCAATCCCTATACGAGAAAAAGCTCTACTTTGAGTAACTCTCGAAGCGGGTAAATCTGCCATTAGCTGAGTTGGAGTTTGCGCTCTAACTCTACGGCAGATAACACATTGGTTTATACACTTTCTTATAATATCTCTAGCATTCACAATCCAAAATTTATGTCGTATGACAGAGGTGAGTAGCTGCGTACCTGCGTGAAGATACGTGTCATGATAATGCTTAATAATTAAACGCGTAATATTGTGATTCTTAGGTAAAATCATAGGATGTTTCTGATTATTTGAAACTGTAGAGTTTCTGAGCCTTCCGCCTACACGCATTACTCTCGCGGAATCCAAGAAAGGACTTAAAGACAGTAATTTACTTGATGTCTTCAAGGGTTTACCAGATTCTAAACAGAATAATTCTTCTGGAAATTCGGCTCTTTGCACAATCCTAACAATCATAGAAGTAACTTCACAGAATTCTCAGTAGATAAATAACCCTTTATACGCTCTGTAGGTAACTTACTACAATTATTTCTAAATCTTAAACACCACGTTAACACTCGACATAACTTTAACCATGATGAAAATCTTGAAAACACACTAGGCTCTTCAAATTTGGAAATATTTTAACTGAAACTCTTTTTCAATTCCTTCAACATAACCTCACCCTCTAATTCTACACTTGAATTTTGCTGTACATGAATTACGGATTCGTTTAACCACTGCGGTCCCTTCATCCATAACTCACATTGTAGGAATTCTGATGGAATAAAACCTCTGGTCCCACAGTCTGCAGGATTTTCTTTCCCAGCAACATAATTCCATTGAATACCTGGAACAGCTTCCTGGATTTTTGCAACTCGATTTGCCAC